CCAATATAAAATAAGTGAGTCAAAAAGATTGAGAAAATACTTCACTATATATATATATATATATATATATATATATATATATATATATATATATATATATATATATATATATATATAATATTTATTTAAAAGGACTATACTACAACCAAAAACAACTAAGAAGATGAAGTCATATGCTTAAACTTAGTATTTGTGATAAAGAGGAATGTTGATGAGTGAGAATATATCACAATAATTAAATGATAATTGGTGATCTTGTTTTCTCCCTAGTTAGGTATCTTTATATGGGAGAATCAACACGAAAGACATTGATATGCCCATATTAATATATCATATTTGTAAGACAGATCTCCACATCATATGGTACCAACATCTCTTCATATACAGGGAAAGGAAATGTTGTAGCATCCTGCAAAACTTAGCCCATACTTATCTGGTCCATACTCTCATCACTTAATCTCCATACTCTCATATTTGTGGGTTTTTATTTTAATTTTATTTTCTTATAAAAGGTAAATGATGAATACGAGATTCGAGTTCATGAACTTACGACGATAACATGTAAGATCGCTTGCCTTCATGTGAAAGAGAGAAATAGAAAAGCTAACCAGTGTGCGTGAATGCCAGTCCATTAATCCCAAGCATCTCAAATGACTGGTTGAAGGTGGAGAGATGCAAATATTGGGTGCTCATTTCTACATCTAAATTGATCTACAGTGATCGATGCATATACGCGACGAAACGTTGTCTCATACGGCATCCATTACAGAGGTGTCCGAGCTCACGCTAACGTGATGCACCAAATCAAGGAGGGCAGGGCAAGGACATACACCAAGCACTTCTCCATGCTATGTGACATAAGTATGTCTATAGATTCGCGTGTGCCAACACTTAAGGTCAACTTAATTCAACCTTATACTATAAAAATATTGTGGCTCAATCACAAAAGGAAGAACAAAAACAAAATAATTTGTTGGCTTTGACGATATAGAATTTACCATTTTTGGTTGCGTATCTACTTTTATAATTTTTTCATAATCGATTGAATCGAACATTTTGATTAAGAATCAGTATTTTCAACTAATCGAGACTCGATGCATGAAAACTAGAATTGTCATATACTCTTTGGTCATGGATTATCGTTGCAATACCCTATCGTATCCCAAGTCATGCGTTCTTTAGGAGATGAACCTTAATGGACTATTGATGCCCTTTTTTTGTCATTATTCTTCTATAGAAACCATTTTTTATCCTCTAATATTATATTAGAAATCAAATAATGATGATAAATCAAACAGTGAGTTTGAGTTAGACTGATACCAATTCAACCTAATCCTTTAGATCCTACATCACATCCGACTCTTTTGATTTTGAATATATATTAAAATATTCTCTTAGTCATTTTTTTTTATCTTCACATAACACATGAATATTTTTAGATTCTTTAATCGGATTTTGCTTCCTTGCATGCCTTTTCCATATCCCGAGCACCACAGCTCTTTGAGCAAAAAGATGCAATGAGAGAAATTGATATTGAAGCGACACTATGTAGTTTGTACGTCCATCTCAGACACGTATATGGTGGCTACAAAGCTTGGAAGTGTTGCCATGGACATACTAACCTTTTGCTTAAGTGCTTTTGGTCAAGTCTTTGACAGTTCTCTTATATCAGAGGATGAACTCTTTGCTCGTCCTAATATGATTGATGCGAACTAAAAGGATTAGTAGGTGCAGTCCTATTGTTGGTCTAAGTCAACACTAAATCACGGTGGTTGTGATTGTTTGCCAATAAACAGTACTGATGTCTCCGGTCGCCCTCATCACATAGTTTTTAATACCTTCTTCTTTGACGATTTGGAGGTTTGGTGCAGGCAATCATCTAAATTAATCAGCTCATGCTAGCCAATGTTCACATGACTTTAGTCTCTCGGCTGACCTTTTGACTCCTCAAGAACAAACTAATAATTGATTATCTTTAGGTAAGCAGCTAAGGGATTATTAATACCTCAACACTACATGACTCACCTTTGATGATTTATGATCGATATCTTATCATCATATGACTAAGAGGATTTGACTCGTATTATATACTTTAGATTCGATGCAGCTTGATTGCACTCGAGCGCTAGAGGAAAAATATGTAGTCACTCTTGATATTAAATTACATTTTCGAGTGTAATAGTTAAAAATATCATTATAAAAAGGTCTCTCGATATATTCTTCAAGAGATTTTTTTTCTACAAAAAAAATTTTGATCGACTCTGATGAAAAAAAATAGCTTAGAGCAATTCACTGTACCTGAAAATGATGTCGGAGTTCCCTGATAGGGTTACATCTTTCACTATATCTAATGGAATGTTTAGACCCGCGGAACCAAATACAGCTCTATACAATATAATATAATATCAACTCTCAGTATGAACTATGTATTGGACACGAAAGCCGATACGAAAGAAACAGGCGTGACGACTGGGCGGCTCGCAGTCAAAAAGGATTAGGTGCTTCTGCTCCCACTTCCGCGATTAATTTGACCTTCCGTCTCCTTCGTGGCGAGTCAGTGCGTTTCTCCGAGATCAAGGCTCCATGACATCTCACCTTACGCCAGAACAAGTCTCATGTTCGAAGCTGTTGTACGTGAAAGACTCGCTCTTCTTCTTTGGATACGATTAGGCCGTACTGACTTTGAGTTGTGTGTACTTGTTCTTCTCGTGGTGCTGCTGCCTTAGAATCGTACGTTCATTTGCTTTGCATGCAAGCCAGCCTGAGACCAAATGTCTCGTATGACCCTCTTCACTTGTGCTGATGGAAGTGACAGCACTTGAAGAAGGTGAACCTTACTTTGTCTCCTTTTGATGAGCATTTTGAATCATATGGGTCGCCTAACAAAACCTGTAACATATATTTGACTATTATATCTGGAGAATCTCCACACAGTTTTACTGGTTCACTTGCATGGTCAAGTAGAAAGAAAGGAAGGCCAGCGCCGAACTTTCACCGCATCGAGGACAGAAGAAGAAAGAAGCAAGCCACCTACCGGCAACTACTCTTCTAATTTTCCACGCTCACTTTCGTCATGTTCTCCGGGCGTCATTTGCGCCGGTTCCTCTATAAATGCCCGGCTTCTACCTCTCCTTTCATCGCCAGTAAGCAGCAAGGAGAACCTCTTGCTTCTCCCTACTTTCTCTCTGTCCACTAGGATCCCACAGTAGTTGTTTCTTCAAGAGGGAGGGAAGAAGAAGAGCAACAAGCATGGCTCTCTCCACCGTCAACTTCACAGTTCTCTTAGTTCTTACCCTCACGTCACTATGCTCTGGTACTAGCGGTCCTGGGGCGTACCTGTACCCACAGTTCTACCAGCACTCCTGCCCAAGGGCTCAAGATATTGTAAGGTCTGTCGTCGCCAAGGCTGTGGCCATGGAGACTCGAATGGCTGCTTCTTTGCTCAGGCTTCACTTCCACGACTGCTTCGTCAAGGTTCAAGCACGACCATTTCTTGCAGCTCAATGTCGCCATCTTCTCGCTTTACCACTATGATGACTACTTATTCCTACCCCGAGATCTCAGTTAATAACGTGATTCGTGCAGGGTTGCGATGCATCGTTGCTGTTGGACAGCAGTGGCTCCATCGTGAGTGAGAAAGGATCCAACCCAAACAAGAACTCCGCCAGAGGGTTTGAGGTCATCGACGAGATCAAATCCGCACTGGAGAAAGAATGCCCACAGACGGTGTCTTGCGCTGACATCCTGGCCCTTGCCGCCAGGGATTCCACAGTTTTGGTACGTGTGATCTTGAGAAGCATGTCAGGGATCGTACGTGCAGCTTAGATGTATGACACTCGTGATTTGCTGTTGGCATGCACGCAGGTTGGTGGGCCCAACTGGGAGGTCCCACTGGGAAGAAGGGACTCGCTCGGTGCGAGCTTAAGTGGTTCCAACCACGACATACCTGCGCCCAACAACACTCTGCAAACCATCACCACCAAGTTCAAGCGGCAAGGCCTTGACATCGTGGATCTCGTTGCACTCTCAGGTGAGTCTTAGTCTCATCTGCCACCAGCTTCTACGTCTCATCGTTGTTCTTCTCTTAGTCTGCCAGCCAACATGTTCTTTAAGCACTCTGATGTGGTTGATGCAACGACTGGTGCTGCAGGCAGCCACACCATCGGTCTATCACGTTGCACGAGCTTTAGGCAGAGGCTGTACAACCAGACGGGGAATGGGGTGGCTGATAGCACGCTCGAGGAAGCATACGCTTGGCAGCTGCGGTCACGTTGTCCTCGATCGGGTGGCGATGACAACCTCTTCTCCTTGGATCGCGTTAGCCCCACCAAGTTCGACAACAACTACTACAAGAACATAGTGGCCGGAAAGGGTCTGTTGAACTCAGATCAAGTGCTGCTCACGCAGAGCCTGGAGACGATGGCGCTGGTGAAGCAGTACGCCGAGAACACTGACCTCTTCTTCGACCACTTTGCCAAGTCCATGGTGAAGATGGGGAACATATCACCTCTTACTGGTGCCACAGGGGAGATTAGGAAGAACTGCAGGAAAACCAATTAAAAGTCGGTAGAGAACAGCGACGGTCGTCCGTCCAATTTGTTCTGTTCGTCGTCCTTTCATTTTCAGCTCTTTCGTGGGATCTGTTGTTGTAATCGGCAGTTTGGTTGCGGTTTGGGTTGTGTCAAGTGTGAGGTAATCGTAAGTCAATAATAATAAAGAGGATTTCTCGGTCATTCGGCCATGTTGGTTTTGTGGAGAATTAATTACTGTGATACTTGAGGGAGCCATGAAACATGAAACATCCTCTTATCTCTAACACGATTTTGATTACAGAACATCCTCTCTCTCTAACACGATTTTGATTATATAACATCCTCTAATACGTACGATTGAATTTAGCGAAATATCCTTCGATCAAATCCAACCATAAAATAACGTTAGTCGAATTCGACCATGAAGCATCTATAATATCTTTGTCGGGTATGACCTGGATGATATAATTTTTACATGATCACCTATCAAACCCTCAAGATCTGAACAATTAGAATCTCAGTAACAATATTAGATACAAATTAGAATACATATATTGTCACCAATATTACACGAATTCGGCCATACATGCTATGGCTGTTGCTGAGCCACCGTGTATAGATAAAATTTCCAGAAGAGAAACTGAGAGCGGTTTTGCCGACCACTCTTCTTGAAGTGATTCTTAGTCCCAATCAGATTATATACAGTGCTATACTGCATGATGAACTAAAACAAAACACAGACAGTAATGCCACAACCAGGATTAAGATTCATAATCAATTCATAGACACAGATCAAACATATCCATGTACAGTGTCGCAGCAGCTATTCTTGCTGCAAGGAATTATTTTTATACCCAAACCAAATGGGATACCAGTTGGATACAAAGGCTATAGTTCTTTGGTCTTATCAAATGTTGAAAATATATCCATACGGTACATACACGAATATTAGTTGGTGTTTGCTGCAAAAAATATAAGGACTACCATGTAAAAAAGAACCCCCTACACCTGACGCCATCATAAAAGAAAATTAAAGAAAAAGATGGGAAGAAACCGATCTTTAAAAAATATACAAGAACTCAACCGGGATATTCTTGTTTCAAACGTTGTTCATCGTCTTTAGTTTCTTCAGTCTTTTGTCATCTAGCATCTTTCCAGAACCAGGTATGCAGCAAAACAATCTCTCTACCTAATTCTATCTAGTGTTATCTCTATCGATGTGATTCCATGAGGTAATCTCCCTTTGAACCAAAACCTTAACAGGAACTATATCACTTTGTGGGAGAGCTGTATGTAATTCATGAGCCTCTTTAGTGCTTTACCACTATCAATGGCTTCTCTAGCCCTGTCCAGGGCAGCCATGACATCCTCTGCCCCATTGCAGCCCAGCAAGTGATCAACCATTCCTGCGTTTAGAACAATCCTGTCGTAGGCTTCTCCTTTCTCACCACGCAGAGCTGCTAAACCCAACGCGATATTCTTCAAAACCTGGTACAAAGACCAAACTAAATTGATACACTTGCAAATTATATAGTTCAGAATGTGATGTACTATCATGAATTAACTATCCTATCAAGCATAACCCTATATGTGCTATTTGTAATTCATTTCAATTATAATTGCTAAAACACTTTAGAACTGAACAAAATAAGAATTGTCAAATAAATGACATGTAATTAGATATAAAGTTGATCAAAACAGCCTTAAGTTTAACAAACACATCAAAGAAGAAAAAGGCACTTTATTGTTAACTACTTGTAATACGAATGGCATCTATGGATTTTGTTGGATGAGTTTATTATAGTTTTAATATTATGCCATACCAGTTTCCTGATCAAAAATAGAAGAACGATAGTCCAATTATGTGGAGAGAGAGAGAGAGAGAGAGAGAGAGAGAGAGAGAGAGAGAAGGGGGGCAAGCGCCTACCGATCTATCAGTTCTTGGAGTATCCGTGGGTTCAAAACCATAATCTTTGGCATTAACATCAATGCTGAAGCTTTCCCTTGAAATTCCTGCCAAAACAAACCAAGGATAAGGTCCTTCAAATACGAACGTCGGATCCATGTATTTGAGCATAAAGGAGAATACAACCAAACTGGGATTATACTGGTGAAAATCCACATTATTATACAAACAATCATAAAAAACTACAAAGAAGAAAACCAACAATGCAAGAGATATAATACCATCAACATCAGGAAGAACTGCCAAACTTGGTGGGCGGAACCCCGAACAGTGGTTTACTGGAAGGCCTTTTGATGCATGAACGGCTTTTGCCTTTGTTGTCATTGAAAGTGCTCCTTCTTCTCCCTATAACACCAGAGTGTATAACATGATTTACAAATGAGGTACATTTGATACTTACAAGAAAAGGGGCGTCTTATGTTCAATACTCTACAAAGTTAATCCAGAATTAAAAGATTAAAAATTTGGTGGCTATCTGAATTCAAATCATATGCAAGGTCAAACTGAATCCCACTTATGACACTCATATCTTATAATGACAATAATTGAAACCAATCCTTTTGCCTGACAATGAAGAGAGGCTCAGAAATAGACAAATTATTTGCCAGTGCATTGACATGATAGTTGAAGGTGATACACAGGTAACATTAAGAACTGTGGCCCTTTTAGTTCCTTTCCAAGTCATATATATTTTGTTGCTCTTACAGATATTAAAGAAATCTGAATTCAAACTGAATTATTACAAGAAATGTTATGATATGCCATTTTCCTGATAAGTCAATTGATTGGTGATGCAATGCAAACAAAGCTTATCACAAGATCGTCAAGAAAACAATAAAACATAATTACTAAATGTTCATTCTGTGCATTTTCACACAAGCTGCAAACTGCCAACCTTCACAACCAAACCCGAATGAACCCTTCTTCTTCTCATAAGCATCAACAGTGGATTCTCATAACCTGCATGATAGAATCCAGCAACAATAGCTTCTCTTCCACGTGCCTGAACAAATAAATGGAACCAGTTAGACTTGCTGCTGTAGATAATGGATACTGATGCTCAGTTGGAAATTTGAGCTTCCGCTTCTAAAAGTTACAAGGATGCAAAAAACCTTTAATGGATATCATAAAGACCAGAGAAGGGAAAGCTTAGAAATTCATAGAAACTGTATGAAACATACTAAATGAATCTGTAGCTATTAATTAAAACAAAAGCATCTTATATCAATGGCCAATTTCTCATGAGCAACTATTGTATAATTGACATATAGAAGAAAAGCATCTTACAAGGTCAAAGCAAAAATCGGGAACACGATCAGTGATATATCAATAGAGACTCAGTAGCACAACAAGTAATCCTATCATCATGCGATGATGGGTGACAATGTCCAATGGCATTCAGAACAAATCTTTGGTATTGCAAATGAATGCAAAACGGAAGGCACATGTAGCAAGCAACAATTCCGGGCATTAATGTGCAAACAATCATAGGAAACAACGTGACATGATTCATGAGTAATGCATGAAATATAAGACATATGTGGGCTATACTAGAATGAAGAGTTACATGCTATGGTATGTGAAAATTTAACTAACCCTGACAAATTGCTGAACTTTCTCTGCAGTTGCCAATGGTGGACGTTTCTTAATATGCTCCCTCAGCCCAATGAGTGAATATCTGCATGGTATGCAAGTTTATTTTATTTAAAGTTCATGCAACCTGAAATGCATCTTGCAATGTATAATACATAGGATAACTATTACTGGTTGTACATTCAGAATGCTGAAAAAAATCTCATTCATAATCTAACAGATACTATTGAAAACTAAAGATGTAAGAATGTTTGACAGATACAAAAGAGCTCATACAATAATGAAAGAGTAAACGACAAGATGTCGCATATAACAAGAGACAACATATTGTCATTGTAAAATATACTGCCTCAAGGTTTCAATGAATCCAGAAGAAAGACAGAAACAAAGATACCATTAAACTACACGTAACAATGGATTCATTCATAATAAAGCAACCATACCATCTTTCTTTGCTGAAGAATTATTCATCACAAAACAGCCATGCCATCTTTGTTTGGAGCTTGTTGTTCATGAATATTCATGAGCAAGGTCATAGGCCAAGTCAATTTACACATGGAAACTTCAAGATTAACCATGTGTCTGAAGATGATTAAACTGTATGACTGCGCTAATGCAGTTTCTGCTGTATATCCAGGCAACTAATTTGTCACTCACAACTGTGCAGCTCATCTTTTAATGTTGTACTAAAAATGACATATAGTTTCCTGCATATCACAAGGTGTAGAACTTGCAACATAAGCTTCTAGATAAATTATATGATTGTAGAAGATTTTTCGACGTCAATATTTTGGATGTTGAAGTCAATACAGAAAAGCAACCATATAAATTGCAAAAGAACTTAAAATTTTTATGATCAACAACTTCAATTCAGAATAAAAATTCCAAGTTTTATCTTATCTCCTGCGATGAATCAAACATGCAAATGTGTGTTCACAACCATTCTATAAGATATTGAAGGAAATGTAGTGGACTATCTGGCATCTGCCTGCACCAAGGAGAAAGATCACTCCTCATGTTTGCAACTTTAATTTATCCATTAAAAGGCTTCATACTCTTCTATTATTTCAGGATACCATAAAATAGACATTCGACAAAACGGAGTGAATCCGGTGGCAAATCGATGCAAGGTCTGGAAAGAGTCAATATTCGTAGAATTAGCTCTATATTTATAGGGACATTGTGTCTGAGATTCAAACCTTGGCCTCTCAGGTTGTAAAGGGGCAACATTATCATTATACCAAGGCTCGTCCTTTTTTTTGTTTACATAAATCTAAATGACAGTAGTAAAATAAATTGATCAATATTGAATGCTTGTTGGGGAATAGTTGGAGTAATCTAATATTCTGAAAATTAGTATACATTTCAGTGAACGGAGAGGTAAAAGAAATAAAGAAAAGGAAGATTATTGATGACTGAACTGAGAAAAAACAACAAAATTGTTCGAGGGAATTTTTCATTTATCCTTACAGCGATGGATGAACTTCCTTCTGATTCAAATAGGCAAAGCCAACATTCTCATCCTGGAAAACAGGCACAATGTAACACCAAAATGAAAAAAGAAGACTAGTTGCAAATCTAAATTCAAGCACACCTCCAGCAGTGTCTTTGCATGGGCTGGAGACAGATATATATTTGCGCCCATGAACTTCAGCAACTGCCCTTCTGTTATTCCTCCCTGCAAATTCTAATTAACTAAGAATTCCAAGTACATTAATTGCACAGCTAATGGAATATCAATTGAGATAGTTGAGAATTTTACAGCTCAGGGATCAGTTACGCGAAGCTCTGACCTTAGGTGGCATCCATTCCACACCGTGGAGCAGACAAGATTCACCATAGCAAGCTCTAACGGCAGCTACAAACAATGTACTTTTGAAGAATCGTGTATTTCCATCATAGGGTTCACCATAGTGAGTCAAAGAATCAACATCAGCGACAGGAGGAGGACCTAAGAATTGCACAGAAACTGGCTAATGAGTACCTTATTGTTAATATGGTTTCTGAACTATTTGAAAATTTTCTCTGACTCCAACTTAAGAAAGAAAGCATTACCTAGATCATCATCAAATGCTAGACAGTATGCTTTAAGCTCACGATCTGTTTCTCTATTCATCCGCTGTCCTATTAAAAATGCAGCTATCAGTGACTCACTAGCCTTTGCAGACCCATCATCATCTGATTTCAGTGGAAGAACATCTCTTAGAACACCTTGGACCTCTTCATAGCCTAAATGACCACCTGCTAGTACTTCCCTTAAAGCACCTACAAGTCTCATCTCAGCAGTTCCTTCGCCAACATAATTTGGCCCAATTGAATTACCAGATTCCATTATTGTGCCTTCTGGATCAGCTATGAAGATTATGTCTTGTGGAAGAACTTCGACAAGGTGTGGCCAAAAGACATCCATGGCACGCCTTTCACCCTCACTCCACTGTGTGGGCTCTGGAAAAGCATTTGCTCTTATTGTCATCCCAGCAAAAAAAGCACCAAGTTGTGCTTTAGAAACTTCATCATCCTTGAGTTCTCCCCTAGCTTCATAAACACAAAAGGTTAGATGATAATAAAAAGCAACTGCATAGCAATTTACATTCCTACTATATATCATGACTCTCTCTCTCTCTCATATGTCTATGCCCACTTATCGCATATTCATCATTTGTTTATTGATCGCTTACATTGAAAATAAATATAAGCATAGTGGCCCAGAATACCAAATAACTTTACTTTCAGTACCTACTATTAAGGGACAATGAAAAAAGATTTACTTAAAAAGATAAGGCAACCATTTATATGATAAAAATAATAAATTCATCTTGAAAGGCCATTTTGCAATGAAAAATAGAAAGGTAGCAAAGAATCTGGTTTGCAGCCAGAATTATGCATGGAAGTACTACCCGTTATGATGTTGGATAATCCAGCAAACTTCAGAGCCTATAAGAAAGTATCTTTTACAAGGATCACAAAAAGTACTTGGTTGGGAGATGCATGTGAGCAATTGATGCAAACATCTCAATTTCATCTTTTACAAGTTAAAAAGGAAAATGATGGAAGATATGAACCCAAGATAGCTTATAAGTTCTTCAAATGATGATAATTGAGCTAATTTTTCTTTGCATGGATATCTGCTTGAGAATCATTAATTATCTATGATCTGAAAACTGGAATCACTTATTATAGATTCTTCCCAGTATAATTAAGTGTTTTGTTGGACAAAGCTACAAAACAGATGCCCTAGGACTTCATTATGTAAAAGCAGCAATGAAAACAAAACACTGACATACAAAATGAACATGTGTTTACCTTCAACAGATGCTGTTGGACGTTTTGCAACACCACATTCTATCAATCCAGAGCATTAATAGATCACAAGACATAAATTTTCTTCCGTGATTTTACTTTGAGTGTCCTAAACAAATTATAACCTCATTTTTCTTAACTTTTCAAGAACATGAGATTCTGTATCTTCCATAAAATTTATAGCACCCATAAGGCGGGAAGGCATTTATGACAAAACTATAAGAAATTACAGCTGACCTAGAATCTGATAGAGGATTGCGGATTCAATGCTATAACCTCAGAATTAATCATGGGTTCTCCAAATGGAAGATCAACCTAGTTAAACATGGTATAATATGTTTAAAAACCATAATAATGAAACTTCATATTTTACATATTCTATGAAATGCATCAAGTGGAAGAAAAAATAAATATATTTCACAGCACAGATGCATATTTTAATTTGATGAAAAATATAAAAGTATCAGTTTTTATATGTATTCATTTAACAATATTGGTTTAGATCAGGGTCAATCATTTTGACAATAAATTAGGAGTCTAGATCATAGCTTCATGCATAAATGTTCTTTTACATAGTTTACTTTGTGTTAGTTTCATAAACACATAATAATCTCAAGTTATCTGAATTTTAATTTCTATATATTTGAACAACATGTTTTATGCAGCTACTAGATTTGGAGCTTCCATCGTTGATTTTGAGGATTATAGTCCCAATCTTCCCACAAGGATTCCATGTCAAACCAGAACAGTTACATTATTTTGTGATGGGAAAAGGTATTTTGAGGAATTAAAGAACATCTAAAACTTAATTAGTGCTTAATCTCTTGTTCTTAATAGACACGAGCACCGTAGAACGTACGAATAACTCAACAACATTCCCAAGTACCCGACAGCGACTTCAAAATAGCTGCACTCACCTGATTTGAGGATCGTGTCGAGAACCTTGAACGCCTGTTCCTCGGTGAGCGGCCTCGTCTGCTCCGGACCGGTGCACACCCGCGCCTGAGCCTCCAGCACCGTCTGATTGGGCTGCGGAATCGTGGGCGGCCGATAAGACGATGAGATCGTGGGGTTGGGGTGCCCCGATTCAAGAAGCTCGGCTTCGTCGATTGCAGAACGGGCATTCGCTCGAAAGGACAGACCGCCGATTCGGTTCCCCCCGCGCCGGAAGGAGACCAGATCGATCGAGTTCAAGAACCCCGTTGGCTTCGCGGAAGAGAAGGAGAAGCGAGGAAAAGTTGGGTTAGATTTGGGGGTGGAGATGAGGAGAGAGTTCATGGCGCGGTGACCTTGCGACCTTCCTGGGAGAGAAGGACAAGAAGGGCAGAAAGAGCGGAGAAGAGACGCCGAGACAAAGTGGGCTTCGATAATTAGGAAGCGCGATCTAATCTAGCCTGTCCGATTCAAGACAGGGTTCACGGAATACCCGCGTCCGCTATCTGGGCCGCTACAGAAAACGCTTCCCTCGACCCGCAAAGAGACGCCGAAGGTTGGACGCGGGAAGCAGTGAGAACATCCGATGGGCCGATCTCCGACCCTTTCGCCGTCACCGAACCATCAATGTTGCACCCACCGTGTTGTATTAGATGTTTGGTCAGACCTCGCAAACGGATCAACATTAGTATGTGCATCGGTCGTTAAATATGATGCTAGGATGACACGATCAGTTCCAAACCCAAAGTGGAAGTCGGTTAGTCCGATCCGAAGCATCAAACTGAAGTTGAACCAAACAGTGACATGGAGGTAGAGCTTTTGATACGTCCTTACGGTCTTTCTAGGTAATATCAAAAGTTAACATCCCGATTAGTTTCACATTAAAAGAAAAAGATTAATTTATAAAGATATGATAGATATATTATTATTATCAACTTCATATTTTTGAATTAAGAGTTTTAAGATCTCATAATTAAAATCAAAGTCTTGATTTGACCTTTTATAAATAGATTATAAGAAATGGGATAGAGAAAAAAAAAGCTTAGAAATTTAACATGTCTATCATCTTTTCTAAATTTATTTTAATAAATATATATATTATTTTTTATTATATATTATTGATTGAGTCATTTTTTAACCCTTTCAATTTGAAGTCACTATTCATCGTTGAATTTAGGATTCTTTAATAAAAGAGAAAGAAAATTTATTATCTCAAACGAAAGATACAAAAGGTGGAGAGAAGTAGACAGAACTGTTAGATTGCACAGAGGTCTTCAAGCCCCTGTCGAAGTTTCAGACACACAGGAAAGATGACGCCTCAACGAAGAGACAAAAGCCGCTGGATGAAGAGGTCGAACGTCTCATCTCGATCCAACAAGCTTATCCGCACGTACTTCGCCTCCACGCCAAAATGTCTGCCGCTCCGGGTGAGAAGCTTGTGGTTCCTCAAGAAGCTCTCACAGTCTTCCACTCCCTCTTTCTCGCATTTGAGCCATGCAAAAGCTTCACATACACCGAAGAATGGAAGAGAACATGAGAAGGAACCATCAACAGAGCTATTCCAGCATTGTTAAAGTAGCGTACCAGGATAGGTTTCAGTCTCCTCCCCAGTGAACCTGCAGAGAGATGACTGGAACTCAGGTAAACTGAAGATGCCCGACGCCTTCACTGCTGCTCGCAGCTTCCGCCACCTCACGGACATGAGTCTTCGTCCGTACTCGAACAGCCTGTGCTTGTTCCCTGGAAGCTCATGCCCATCCGAGACCACTTTAAGGATCTTAGCTACCCGTAGCTGCGAGTCCTTGGACACTCCAATAGTGTTGAGCTCTATGAACTTGGTCATCCTCTTGGCGACATCCTTGTCCTTCACCAGAGCCCACCTGCTCATCAATGCTTAAACCTGAGATTAACAAGGTACACAAGACAAAGATGTCCTATTTCTACTGCAGATGAGGAAGAAGATGTCTACCCCAGTCGAGCTCCGGCATGGCCAGTGCTCTTTGAGACAGTGAACAGCATAATGTCATGGTCTGCGGCACCAGTTATGGGGGTGTACTGAGGCCAGTAGTATGCAAGGTCATGGATCGTCTTCCCGTTCTTGGAACTCAGGACTGCTTCTCTAATTGAACCATCTGGGTTATTCGGAGAGCAAACGAACTCTATGTACGCATCACCTTCGAAAGTGGATGCATCCCCAGCCCACCGGTAAAGCCCTGACCGAAGGTAGTCTGTGACTGTTGGATATGACTGCAATCGATCGGCAAGGTTGGTAAGTCGCAACACATGTATCGATCCACAGAGATAGGAAACATGAAGAAGTTTGCCGGATCATGTTATCGGCGACACTCTCACCGGTCAAAACATTGATCAGTTTAGCTATCAAGAACATGATATCTGAAACCCACAACAGAGAATTGAAGCTTAAATAGTTCTAATAGAAGGCAGGGAAGACACAACATCAGAAACATAAATTAAAGAAAAGGCGTTGACAAAGGTTTGTCGAATCAACAGAAGTGATCATCACACGCCGAGAAGCAGAGCTTTTAAAGATGGTTTACACCAACTTCTGCAATTAAAGATGTCTAACGTATCTTGTTAGTTTATTAGGAATTATTCGGTGGTGACGCCGCCCACCAAAGAAAGTGCCATTATCCGAGTCTATTTAAGCACTCTGTGGCTTAATTTGTGTGCGGTGCATGTAATGGGACTCACTGAGTAGTATGGAATTGCAGATACGACGTTCATTGGCTCAGCTGCATCGGGTGGGGATAGAGCATACAGAGCAGCCTGAAAGAGCTGAGTCGAGCCCGTCCCGACGATGATGAAACGACCGTCGTCGACGACAGCGTTGCCCACGAGGCTGTGGAGTCGCCGCACCTGGTGCGCGAACTCTGGTTCCAGGAACCAGCACAAGTTGGAGGCGTCGGAGAAGTAGCTCATGCTCTGCCACCCAGGGAAGACGATGTCTCCCCTCTCCCCAATCCTCTTCCAGAAGGCCTCGTAAACCGTCGGGTCTCCACTGTCATTGTTTCAAGGCAAAAATGGCATTCTCGTTTCCGGAGATTGGAATATTCGACTAACAGTAAGTTTGAAGAAGATGATGACTCACTGGTCGAGGTTAATGATGGCGTCCTTCGAGGTGGGGCGGGAGCCGGCGGTGGAGCTAACGCTAATCTCCTCAGCAGACACCATCTCCACCTCCTCCGCTGACGACTGCGGCGGCGCTATGAGCACCGCCTTCTCCGGTTCCGCAACAAAGCCGCTGCTTCCGGCCTCGCAACCCAGAAGTCCGTGACCCTCATACAGCGAGGCGAGGAGGGCGATGGTGACCAGATTCAGGGAAAGGGACCCCAGAATCGTGAGTCCCCAGATGGGGCCCGGAAACGCAGGCGCCCGCCCCTCGACCGAGGCCTGACTCCACCTCGTCCTTCTCTTCGAAGCCTTCGGCATTGGCGTGTCGCGGACGCCCAAAAAGAGAGCGGAGAGGGTGGTCAGCAAATACCCGTTGACGCGCGTGCAGCCCGAGCGCCTTCGCCAGACAACGGAACCTCGTCAGAAGAAATATAATCTTCTTGTCGCCGCTCGCCGGGGAAAAAAGTAAGAAGATGGCCGCTGTTTGATGCCGCCTGCAGCAATACTTTCGAACTTGGCCCTCCCAGGAGTTTTCTGGCACCCACCCACCTGGGTTGCAAACTCCTGCACTACTTCTCTCTCTCGCTCTCTCTCTCTATATATATATATATATATCGCGCCCCATTCTTTACTCTCTCTGCCACGGAGACACTGATGCACCGTTCCTTTATAGTGGAAGGGCGGGCCCAGCGACCAAAGACATCTCTTTTCCTGGCAACTTTTTTTTTATTTTCTTTTCATTTTTTTCCTAAAATAAATTTAAACTGCTTTACAAAGCATGATCGACTTTATTTGAATACTATAAAGATAGGATATCAATACAAAAGGTTGAAGAACAACTCAACCTTTTAGGGCGATTGTCCCAAAAAAAAAAGAAAAAATAGATTTTTCTGAATGGTATTTTCATTTTCATAATTTTTAAATAGTTATTTCCTTTTTTAAATTTTTTAAATTTAATTAAAGAATATTATATAGTATTTTTGTTTCAAAAATACTGCAACATCAATAATTAGTTCAAAAATATTATACAATATTTTTAAAATAAAAAAATACTATGTAGTGTTTTTAAAACACTATATAATATTTTTGAGCTAGTCTTATAATATTTTATGGTTAAAAATTAACCCACAAAACACTGTAAACAATTGATGAAAAATTATTTTGGATTAGATGACAAAAGAATGATGACTTTTTTGAAGGAGTATTTTTCAAATATTTAAAAAAGGTGATTATTTTAGAATTATGAAAAGAGGATACCATATAGGAAAAACTCAAAAAGAAGATATTTCCATAGTAAACTTCCAACTTATATATATGTCACATGATTCTTCTATACTTAATAATATATTATTTAAAAAAATCTTCTTCTTTTCTCTTATTTAATGGACATGTCTAATATTTTTTGCTTCTCTTTTCTATATATTAATCTTAGATACATAAATATTTTAAACATTTTCTTACTTCACATGTGAGTTTTTTTTTTCAATATATGGTTGAACATGTCTCATGTAGAAATATTAGAAAATTAAAATATTTGATCTGAAGTCCTACAAAAATTATATTAAAGGCATACCCAATAAGACTTTAAATAAGTATAGATTTAAATGATTCGATCAAATATAAATAATAAAAATAATTATTTTCTTTTTATAGTATATTTAGGAGTCTTTATGTAATACAATAAATAAAATATTTATGACTATACTATAAATAATCATGTCCATGAAATTTTATACTATAAAATTTCGACATGTCCATGAAATAGTATAGTATAGTTATAGTATAGTTATAACTATAATTTTATAGTTATACTATAACTATACTATAAAATTATGGGCATTTCGACATGTCCATAATTTTATAGTATAGTTATAGTATACTAAAACTATACTATAATATAGTATAGTTATAGTATACTATAACTATACTATATTATTTATGATTATTATTTTATACCATAAATAATCATGTCCATGAAAATAATCATACAATATATAATTAATTTCAAATATTTATAGTATAGTCATAAATATTTGAAAATAATTATATGTATCCGTCACACACCAAATTCGAAGGTATAAAATAATAATTTATCGAGTCAACTTTTTATCACAATTATGATCAATCTTATATAATAGAATCGATTTTTTAGTTAGTACTCTAAGTATCAATCTCATAAAATCTAGTCTCCATGACGTATTGATCAAATGTTTCATATCTCTTCTATCAATATTTACATGGATTTAGGACCCCAAATTGTATTATGTAACTATAAATAGTATATATCCCTTCTAACAGTAATTATCGTTATGGTTAACGCACTAAAAAAGAAATCCATAATTAAAAATGAGATGAAATGACGTGTCACAGCGCGTTGCCTCGGTGGCTGACTCCTCTTGTGGGTTGTAACGTGGCACGCCTTCCCATGAAGCTTGGGTTTCTGTGAGCGCAGTCACGCACGCGCGTAATGATAGACTCATGGCACACATGGCCGCTCTCGTCTTCGCAGTCTCGTATGCGCGCGCACAACGGTCGATGCACATGTTGGTTGCATGTATGTGGACTGACTGGGCGAGTCTCCCACGGTGGAAGTCATGTTGTGCCCAATCCAGTTGGGCTGCTGCGTTCGCTCGCGCGCCGGCCGGCATGTTCGTATGCGCCGTGACCGGTCGAGCGCATGTTTCCTGGTTCTCTAACCGTTATTATTAAATATTAAATTCAATAGTAATGTAACCGTTCTGATTCATAATTTATTATCATGAATTTTTTTTATTTAATATGGTTTAAATGATTTTAATATTTTTATTCATTATACATGAAACCATTATTATTAAATTAAATATTTAATATTATTAAAGTTTTTCATTATGGTTCAAACGTTATAAATTTAAATTAATTCTTGAACGTTATGAGTTGATGATGATAAATATTCTTGATGGGAGAATATTTATATATATAAAGATTTTGGTTTCTGGACTTAATCATTTCTTTGAAACAAAAAGATTTTTCTATACCATCTAAAACAAGAGTTTTGGGTCGAGAAATATCAAAGTTCAAGAAGAAATTTCTGTATAAATTTTTGACAACAATAGTTGGAGGTATGCTATTTTGTTTCCACGTTAGTTTTATTATGTTTCAATTATAATAATTTCGAAATACAAGTTGACCTCAATAATTTCTTTCATGTGACTGACAAGGTTGCTCTTACTTTATCGTCGGATACACTACAATGCACAACTCCACTTAGTGAAACATCCTCACGTGAAAACATGGTGGGATGCTCCATGAGCAGAGACTGTCTTCCTCGTCAACATTTGAAAACTTAGCTTCTGACTTCGATGAACATGGACAATCATTAAATTAGTGGAGTGCTGCGGCGGCATCTCCTCAAGTGCTAATGATGTGATAGATCGAGTTTAGGAATGAGAAATATTTTAGATTCATTGGTCCGACGTAAAGCAAGCTTTTTAGATATAGATTATATAATTTTATTTAATTAATAAATTATAGATTTAATTAAATTTTGATTATGATTATTGATAAATAACTTCAATTATAATCGAATTTATGAGGAGATGATTTTAATGAAAAAACTCTTCTAATTATTTATCATAGATACTTTGCTCTCACTTATACCGAACTTCAACCTACTTCTAACGATTCAATACATGATATGATGTGTTGTGACGTTATGTTATACATTGAGGTATTGCATTTTTTTTTCATCCCTCATAATTTTTTTATTTTATTATTTAAGATTATATTATAAAGAATAAAAAAAAAATGAGTTTAGTGTTTTTGTAGATCGACACCGCTATTTCTTTATTATATATCTTCATAAAAATTCAATATGTGACATGACATGATGTTGTGTTATAAATTTTATCTCATCTCCCCTTATTTTTATTTCATAACTTATAGTAAAATTATGAATAATAAAAAAAGAGGAGAATGCTAGTCTAATTCTCTTTATATAAATTAACATCCTTGTTATTTTTCGGATTTGATGATGGTACACTTATAAATCAAATAAAGATTTTATAAATAGTATTAAAATTTATATAATTATAATATTTGATTTATTGTTATTAATCTTAGTTTCTTATATTAAAATTTTTCATATAATAATATAATTATAATTTTTATTCATTCTCATCTTTTTCACTATCAGTTTATTGACCAAAAAGAATAGTTATTTAAAGTAAGAGCGAAAAATGCCATAGTATCCCATTTAACAGAGGTTTGTGTCGATGGCTACGTGCAACTTTTCCTGCCTCAAAAGATGGGTTCAAGATGTGAATACTTTTCCCATAAGCCTTCGACAGAAGACATAATCGATGTTTTGAAGCTTTAATGACAAACTTTAAGGTGAAAGACTTCTGAGGAGGAAGCCCAACAGGTTTGGTCCAGTTAACTACCAAATTAGTAAGATTGGAGTAGAGAATAATCTCTAAGTTGCTATGGATTAAAAGAGTGACATTACATTTACAACATGGTAAAATGGAGTAAGAGAATAGTCCACATTAGTACATATGGTTTTGGCCATGGTATCAAAGTTTGATATTTTGACTTGAATTGATATTAAAGATTTGATGTATTTTAATCATCCCTAATTTGATTTTGATTCAATAATTATACCTTTTCTAGTAAGGATTAACGCTCGTGTTCGGGATAGAACTTGATATATAGAATTTGATCACGGTTAAATTAGTATAAACTATAGGAAACAATATTATTCGAAATATATTTTATTTCATAAATATTTTTTTTCATTATTCCAAAAATAAAAATATTTAGAGTATAGTTAAATACTTGAAACATCTTTTTAAGCACTAATCTCAAACTTATCAAAGTGACAAAGTAATCGAACATACTCTCGATGCTAATTCTATAAATAACAATATCAAACCTTCACGTAGATATGATGAACTCACCTAAGGAGAATAACCCTGAAAAGACATCCAACCTCCTCGTAGATCTAATTCTCAAAATATGATAACCTTCGAAAATATGTTTGATCAGGAGTTTAGGAAATGGTTCAACAATTAATTTTGACACTAAAATATATTACTTGGATTGTTCTTGCTGTTGGTGAACTGATGTGCTGTGGCTGATGAGTTAGCACGGCCTGGTCCATGGGTCGATGTCGGGAGTTCTTGGTCGGTTGAGCTGGATGCCGAGGTCGATCGGGCCCTCGTGACGGGGTGTCGATCAGGGTTTCTCGGTCTGGGCTTCGTTGATGTTGAGTAGTGTCTCTCTGTCTCTAGGTTGGTTAGCGGCTCGCCTTTGTACACTGGATGACAACTCCAAGGTCGGGACTTCTGCGACTTGAAGGTGACCGCTTTCCTACAAGAATAACCATAGTGGGGTGATTCCGGACTTTGACCCCTCCAACGAGCAAGTTAGTAGTTGTTTTTCTCTTTTTGTCCTCTCCCCTGGCTGGATGTTAGCCAATGGCTTTTATACTACTGTACGAGGGTCGGTCGTACACGGGTTTGGCGTGGTGGCCGATCCTCGAGGGATGAGATGGTACCTTTGTGCGGCCACAGTCTCGAGACGCGTGGAACGGCGCCA